AAGTTTATTTACAGTGAACTCTGAGTTTACAAAAAAGAGGCTCAGCCACTCGAAATAGAACTAACACCCAGAGAATGAACAAAAGGTTGTATAGTAGCAAAGAATTTTTGACAGTCTTTGTAAAAAGTGCTGGAAATAAATCAATGTAGACATAGAGGGTTTTTAAAGCAATTTTTAACACTTTCCCATCATATAAATAAAATTATAATGCCATGAGACATACATGTGTTCAGTAGATCAGAAGTATTCAGATCTGTGATTTGTAAGCGATATGACAAGTGAAAAAATAAAGACATGAGAACAAACTACTATTGCATTTACTTGTATTCACAGACTGTTCTCACATCTGATTTCTAGTTTTTCTTTGAATCATGAAGTCTATCAGGTTGGTTTTTTTAAATTAAAACCAAAATTCATTTACTCCAATAGCCAATACTTTTAAGAAAAAATACATATGAAAAGGCAAAAATATGGGCAATTTTGTGTGCTATAAACTTCTAATTCTTGTTCTGATTTATATTGCCCCTGAGCTCCCTTTGTGTCTCTGCTTGCTCCTCTGTGAGCTGGGGCTCACACACAGTATGCTTACTGAGCATCCTGAGGACAGCGGCGCAACTAACGACAATTTACACACACAGCATCAATTTATTTCCATACAAATTAAACAGAATGCTTTACTGCTCAGAACCACTGCCAACATTAATAACCACTTTGCCAGACCAAAAATAGCTACTTGATAAGCAAAGCCAGGCTCCCAGCAACTCACATTTAGGGGAGCTATTGCAAGGTACTAAAACCCTGCAAAATGCATAGAACAAAACTGTTCAATCATTAAGTTCACTAAAAATATTAATTAGAAATTTATTTTATTTATTTGTATCTATAGGGATTTGAGATTAGTTTGAAATCTGAAAATCCTAATAAAATAGTCAAGTTACATTGATAAGGGTAAAAACCATAATGTTCAAGAGGTACATTTCAGTTCTTTACATCACAAGGGTAAGATTTTTAAAAACAAGTCTCACACAAAAATGAACTCAATCTCCTTTCTCCTTCCACCTTAAATAAAAATGAAAAGGTGAAACTTTCAGTGCTGTAACAAGATCTGCAGTGTTAGACCATGCAGACCCAATGACACGGAACTCCCCCTATCAATTTTCCAGAGTTTGAAACAAAACGGTAGAATGGTTATTGGCTGATTCTGTAAATCCAGAATTCTTAATTGAAAGATATATGCATCCTAAAGAAATACTTACACCTTAATCAGTATCATATGGACTAAGGCATTTCAGTATGTACATATTTATTAAACAGTAAACCTTTCTAAGACATTTCTTTTAAAGACTAATAACCCCCAATCTGGCAAAGGAACTAATCCTCCATTTGTCATGATTCTTTTTAATTAACATTAAATAGACTCAAAATTAAGCGAGGACATGAACATTTATCAACTTCTGTGTTTGATTAGTAAAACATGCCAAGAGAGAGTGTAAGATTATTCTAAATTTCATGGTTGCAAAGAAAGTATTAGTAGCAGAATTTTCAGGGACTGATGCCTCTAAGAAAGGAACAACTTCCTATCTGTGTAACAACTACAGCATTAAACAAATTATATTTTGTATCTTAACAAGATATTTTTCAATTTTTTAACATTTTAGAATTAGGTCTAAGAGTTTGATACACTGAACTATTTTTCCTTCAAATTGCAATAAGCAAATCAAAACAGATGTGTAAATAGCATCAACAAAGATAGAGGGAGAGAATTACAAAGATGCCAAAAAATACCACATATCTGAATACAATCACAATAACCAATGTACTCTTACCAGACTTCAGAGTTTTTTCAAAGTTAGGCATGGAAGACAGTTAAATCAGGGTAAATCTTGCAGACCTATGCAGGCACAGAGCTGCTGACTTGAAGCTGCTCCTTTAGGCATAATGCCAAAGCAGAACAACTTTTTACAGAATTCGAGCAGGAATAAAACAAACAATACCTATAACGTCTAACACCAGCACATAGCAAACTGGTAGGAGTTGAAAAGGCTAAAAAGCTAAAGCCTGGAACTGGAAAACATGAAAAATGTTATATACCAGTGAAAAGTAAGAACAGTTTACACAGAGGAAAGGAAGGCTCCCTTCATCTACTGGAGTTCTTCAAAGAGTTACCAAGAATGTGGATGAGTAAAAATCCATTTAAAAGTCAACTTTGACTTAAAAAATAACTTCAACAAGATGTCTCACTCGGAAGCCAAAAGCTCTGAAGGAAACTAAGGTGCAACAGTCTAAGAGTGGAAGGTCTTCACAGGCATAAATTAATTAGTCAAAAGGTATAAAACAGAGGAGAAAAGAGTTGTCTGCATTGAGAATCCTAGAATCACCTGTACTAAAAACTACTGCTCAGCAACTTTGTGATTAATTAATAAGAATAGTGATGCAAAGTTAAAGTATGACGAGTTAAGTATAAACAGCAAGAGCCAACAAGCAAAGACTGGTATTCAAAATAATGAACATCAGCACAATAAAACAACTCGTGAAATTTAATCTAGATAAAGGGTTGCATATATGGCAAACCAATACTAACTTAACATAGACAGAAAAGCTGTCTGAATTTGTCCAGTTCAGACAGAAATGCTGGAATTACAAGAAAGAGTTCTACAAAATGCCAGTTCAATATTCAGAGGAGGTCATAAAAACACCCAAAACGCCAAACCGAAATACTGTGACACTAGAATTATCAGAACATAATACCGAACAGAACACATCAGAGGCACAATTTTGTTATTTGTAACTCCACACTGCTCTTGCATTTTTAATACTGACTGCAGTTCTGTCCTCTCATTTGTCACCCAAGTATAGGAAAAAAACCTGTAAGGACACTCAGAACTGCAGCAGGGTTTCATGGCAACAAGAACTGCTGGACAGATTAGGACTTCTCCACGTAGAATGAAGAAAAGTGCAAAAGATCCTACAGTCATGAACATTAATAAAGTGAACAGAAAACAACTGTTGATAGTAATTGAAGCATTTAGAGGCATTAAGTAAAATTGTTAGATTGATGGTTTGGGGGAAAAAAAACAACATAGGAGAGAGTACTAAGATTTTGCTATGAATCTTTCTAGTATTCTGTATTTCCACATGTCTTCAACCACCTCCTGTGCCTCTTCTGAAAGATGTCCAGCCTGTCTACAAAAATACTATCCAAATAGTACAGGAAAGTGTGACTTCATGTGACCATATGCATATGCTTGTTCCTGCTCACTCCCACAAACAAGAGTTGTTAGTATTTTATAAATGCTGGAAGACAACAGCTTTGCTCAGATCACCCCTATTATGAAAATTTTAATTTTCAATTCTTCATTCACACAGTTATATTACTGAACCCATAAAGTTAATGAGATTATCCACATGTCCTAAACCAACCAAGCATATACACTGTCTTGTTATATTAAAAGCTTAGTTGAAAAAGCTCCAAAAACCCCAGTAGAATTATCCCAATAAAGACATCATATTTTCTGTGGATTAGAACTGGGGCAGAACTTTGTGCCTTATCTTACTTTTTCCTGGTGTTGACCAAGAGCTCAGCAATCTTCTTGATGGTTGAGCTGAATAATCAGGAGAAACTGCAGATGCACCAGGATGACAGTGGAATGGGTTAGACACCAGCCTAAGACTTGAACACATGAATTCAATTTCCTTTCTCATCATCAATCTTCTTTGCACTCCTGGACAGACCAGCTCAGGAAGGGCCCAACTGACAAAAGGCTAACTAGAGGCCTTTCCTCCAAAGCAGAGCAGGATAAGGATTTCTCAGTTAACAGCAAAACCAAACAAAATAGTCCTTTCTACCAACCCTGCTAAAAAAACAATTACCCTCTTTTTTTGTTCTGATAAACAGACTAAGCATTTTATCTCAAGATCTACAAACAACTCAGTCACTGTTCAGCATCAGTGTACAGATTTTCAATTGGATACTACATGAAATTTCTGCCTTAATGACAGAGTAATCTACCAGCTTGAGCTAGAGCCTTCATTTCAACCAAAATGGACAAAAAATGGAAAAGGTTCCCATTCTTATCCTACTGAAATGCACACAAGGTGTGTGTCACAGGAGTCACATTTAATTCATGAACACCAAAGCCTCTAGAGAAGAGACAGACTCTTACTCAATGCCTAAATGCTTTGAAAAAATGAGACAGGATCTCTAAGTGACATTAACACTGATCACTGTCAAATGAGTCATCTTTTTCAGCAAGTAAGCTCAGAGATAAAACATTGAGAGATTATAATCTCTTAAACACAAAGGCTACTTTGAATTCTATCCTAAGAAATTAAATAAAATAATTAGTTATCTTAATTTCACCATGTTGCATGCAACTAAACCTCATCAGAAAGTATAAATGTGCATTACATAATCTGAGTTCAAAGTTCACTTCTCATAATGAAAAAGTCTGGCATGTGTCTAAAAGAAATAATTTTTGGAAAAGCTTTTTCCATGCTCCTATTTGATCAATCTAAAGTATGATTTTTACATGATTCGTGTGAACAAATGTCTATGTTTCACTTAAAGCACTTGCCAAAACGTTTAATGTATATAAGCAACTCCATGTGTCAGCAGACGAGAAGAAATTTCTGTGAAGGTGAGTGCCAAGACAAACTCAGCAACAGTTGCTTTTTTAAAATCTAGAAATCTTTATTTCCTACAGCAGCCACATGTGTGCATGGAAATAATTAACAGGTAAAAGACACAAAGAAATCTGCATATGACAATTTATCAAAACTTTCTACTTAACTTTCACTCTCCACATGCAAGGCTTAGCCAACCCATTCTCATTATACAGAAAGGAACTTTTGCTTTGCATTTAACTCTCTCCAATTCTATTCTCAGACCTTTAGAAATTTCTTAAGAAATCCAACCCAATCAACTGTTATAATATTTACAACTTACACTTCTAAATATTACAACTTTATGGATCTTTCTGATTTTGTTACTGAGGAAATCCAAATCAGGCAATAATCATGCATTTTACCTATTTAAATATAACAAACCACGCAGATGATGTGAGCTATGTTGAGACAGCTGAAGAGTAAAATTGCCTGTGGTCCACAAAAGTCATTGTAATGTGGTGCTCTGTTTTCCATTGACATCAGCAAAAGGTCATAAAATGTTCATCTAGGTGATCTATTTTCGTGGTTTCACTGTATATGGGTTCCATATTGGTTTAACATGACTGAAGATTTAGTGTTACTGAAACCCTTTGGGCCATACACCAATAAAATCCACCATTTATGGTGGACAGCTATGTACCTTGTGCTCGAATCTTCTTGAGATCAAACTTCTACTGCTCCAGAGAGAGTGAAAAATAAAAGTGAAGGACTGAAATAGTTCTTTTTACCCTTACATAGAATCTATAAGTTCTCTCACTGTTAACAGACAGACTTTAATGTACTACTGTCATCTGAGCTCTTAAATTGGCATTAATGTTTTCAGATGTGTTGCCTTGAAAACAACTTTCCAGTGGTTTGGGGTGTTTTTTATGGTTGCTTGTTTTTTAATTTCTTCTGCGGGGTTTTTAAAAATAATTTACTTAGTTTAAGTAATGGCACTTTACCTATCCCCAGCTCTGGCTCACACTAACTAACTCTGGTTATCTGTTTCTGCACGTTTTCCTCTCCCGAAGAGCAGACCACATCAAATGAGCTGACAGAAGAAAGGCAGCGGTTCACAACACACCTAGGAAGGCTCACCTGAGACTGACAAAACATCTGCAGTAGCCCAAATATTGCATTTAGACAGAAATTTACCGAATAAACAGTTCCTCAAAACCAAGTAACACAAATATATATCCTCAATGATTAATAATAATTGATTTTGCAAAATTTCATGTAAAAATCTTCAGAGTCCATAGTTTCTTTCTATTTCTAGTTTTACGCTTGGGGGAAAAAACCCACATGAAAACATGTTGCTACGCATTTCCCTAGACTTTTATTTTGGCATCTAATAGCTCACAATAGCTTTCACAACCAGTATTCAAAAAATGCTTACAAGAACAGTACAGTCTGTCTCAGATTTTATTTGATTGGCATGCTTCATGCATTTTGATTCAAGAGCTAGTGAAGTGTCCCAGACAATAAATCAAAATAACTGCTACTCAAGCACTACCTGAGTGTATTCATAGTTAATCATTAAGGAAGGTCAAGCATTAGGAATACAGAAGACACATGGAAGACTATATTGGTCCTTTAAATACTGAATATTCAGGGAAATGACAGAGCTAAAAGACCCAATCTAAACTCTACTAAGAGTGCTGGAAAGATTGCTAGTTATAATCCTGTCTTCTAAATCAGTGTTTCAGCAAGTATCACATCACATTTCATCATGAAACAAAGGTAACTAATTATTATTCTAGGAAGCTAAAGGCAACAAATAAAGTAATAAAGACACACACTTTTCCACAGTGAAACACAGAAAATGTCGTCACAGTTTCAAACAACAAATCAGTTTACAAGTATCTTTTAAACTTACTGTATTAGTTGAATCTTCTTGTAAAATTCTATCATATAACTGGATAGCATCATCATACCTGTTCAAAGAAATAATCTGCATTTATTTTTTTGAAAGAAAATGTTTTCCACCATCACTATGCAGTTTTGGTTAATTCTGCTATTTGAAGTATGCTTGAAACAAGTTACTTTGGTGCTATGAGCACTTCAAACCTCCTGGGGAACAGATCTGTGTGTTCAGCCAGCTGTGTACACGACTCAGACTGGACCAATGAAATAATTCAATTCAAAACACATTTGAGTACACAGCTCTTGCACTATCAGCACAGAACTAGGGCGTACTTTGTGTCGTCATGTGTAGTTTGACAAGCAGTTTTTCAGCGGTTCTGCTGATTGATTTTTGATGCTACACATTTCCTTCTCACCTTGGATACTCAATTTACATACTCTCACTGTTCCCTAAGCACTGCTGACATTAGCATAGCTCAGCTGTGTAGTCCAGTTACCATAAGGTATGAGAAAAAATGTGAAAGGGAGCACAAAAGCAGAAACACATAAGTGACTGCTACAGACTTGAGCAGATGTGCTGTGAAATGCTGTTTGTGTTCTCTGTTAGATGACACTTTGACAAATGTGTTTTAGAATACTGAACATGAAAGTCATAACTCCAGCTTCACATGGTGAAGTTCCAGAATATTATTCTTTTCATTAGCAAGTGTCTACAGGGATGTCTCAGTCTATGGGGAAGTTCTTCACTGTTGCTCTTCCCGTTGGGGAAAGCAGGATCCTTCCTAGATCCTACAAGTCACTTGAAATTTAACAAGAAGTTTATTTCTTCAATTGAAAACATGATCCCTCCAGCTGAAGTCTTCCAAGACTTCTTTTGTAGTTAGTGGAGAGAAACAGGATTCTCCAGGGCATGGCTTAGAGCACCTCAGATGGGTTCCTCTTCAACACAACCCAAACCAAAGCCTCCTTCTGCTCTGACTTCTGAAGATAATCTGTGAAGATGAAACCTCAGCTTTTGTTAAAGCCCCTGCTCCCCAATACCCAAATCTCAAGGATCTAACCTGACAGACACACTTGGTCAATAATTTGTATGACCACTTTCAGAAAACTGTGGCTCAATAGCACTTTACTGCTGAAACCCCACATCTTTGTGCTACAGTCATCTCCCACATAGACCTGTGTACATGCAGGAACATCTTCAATGTAGCCACACAACCCTGAACTGACTTATGATCTACAGTACTTCTGAACAGGTTTCAGGAAGGGGGAAAATCCGCTGCCATTCTCTCACTGTCTTCCCACCCTATATAAAATGAAGACAAGAGAACTAAGTTTAATGGAAATTCTTCAAGAATGTGTATTTGATATAAAGTGAGTGTGAAACATGGAGCATCTATTTGTCTTGAGAGAGCTCCTGTGGATGTGGATTCTGGCCACTAATTTTTTTGGATAGGAGCAATGGACACTCATTGGTGGCTTGTATCAAATACCATTTTCAAAGTTAATTTTTCAAGAATGTAATGGATGAAGAACATCTGCTAAATAACTATCTTTTAAAAAAAGCATTTGAGGTGTACTTCCAATTCCTTCGTATCAAGATGGCCCAAAGGCTCCAAATCTCACCAACTCTTTAGGTAAAATGTGTCATGGTACAGATTGGTTAGCATCCAACGGCACCGAAAGCTGGAATTCCTTCTCAACATCCAAGACAAGGGCTTTAGAATAGCATGTTGACATCAAAGATATATGCAAGGAGAAAGGCAGACAATAAAGGTCATCCTCAAGACCTGATCTTGGAAAGCTATCAAGTTTTAATCTGTTCATTATTTTAGTAACTCCTGTTAAACCTAGCATGTTATAACCCTTCTATAGAGTATTTCAAAACTTGTCAGTCTGATTTTTAGGTTCTGCCATTCTATCTCGTATGTTTTTTCTGTTGTTTCTATAAACACACTCTATAGATTTAACCCATACTAAGTTCAACTGATTTATCCACACTAAGAAAACATGGGTAAAGAGTTGCACCCTGCAGTAATTAGGAGCATAGGAGAACAATGAAGGGAAAAAAATGCTGGCATTGATTTTCATATCCAGCTCTAGCTCTGTGAGATGAAACGTATACCTCACAGAATTTGCCAAGATAGTGCACAGTGTTTTACTGTATAATGACTTCTGCTGTTGAGTAAGAGATCTTTCTGATCTATGACGTCTGATAGGAAGATTGTAGAAATGCAACACTGCATAGTACCTGCAAAAATGCAATACAGATGTCTAAAACTTACAATATGATCATGCATACAGTTATTTCCTATAAAGAAACTGCCAAGCACTGTTTTGCCATGATTTTGTAATGCCTGAATGCCTTTTAAAGAAAGCCCAAACACTTTTCCAGACAGAAAGCACATTTTTTAAAATTCAGGTTTTACCTTTCCATTGCTTCAAATCGCATTCCAGTTAATCGTTTCACTCTGTGGCTCCCAGGAAACTGTCGCCTCAGCTCCTGAAGACAAAACTATACAAAGAACCAGAAACACTATTGTGACTATAGTTATCTAGACAGAAGTTAGAAGAACAAAAAAAAAAAAGAAAAAAAAAGTCTTGGTTGAGAATTCAACAACCTGGAATGGCACTTCTGAGTACAATGAAATACCAATTTTTGAAATAAGCAGTAGAGTGCACTGATAGGGAGAAGGTCAGAAATTTAAACTCTGTCTGTTAGAAGACTAATTTTAAGAAATATCCTCCATACAGGTCATTAGATTGTTAGGTCCTCTTGGAAATAGTTATTTGTCTACAAAATCAAACTCACCTACTAAAACAGCTCTGATACTACTAAAACTTGAAGTTTACTTAGTTGCCAAATAACATCTCAAGACAGTAAAAAAGCAAAATAAAGACAGTGAGAGCTTATATGATACTTCTTTAATAAATGGATATCTCACAATGGAACAAACTATGCTAATACTATGCTCTGTGTTTATTTTTAAAATAAAACTTTGAAATCCAAAGAAAATGTTTGTCACTGGCTTGGGTGGAGCCTGCTGGCAGAAAGGGCATAGCTTCTAACTCCTGAAATCAATGAGACACCTGGTCTGGATAAAAAGAATTCATCACAGGCAGATTTCTCTGGATTAGCAAAAAAGGATGTTTGGTAGAGGGACTGAGTCACAACTTCCCCAGAGCAAACTAACTCGTAATTGTATCATGAATGTGGCTAGATAGCACTGCAAAGTTTGCAGCTGATTCATTATGGTGGGACACAGGATAGTCCCCAGCCACTCAAACAGACCAGTAGGTTGAATCACATCGAAAGGTTCACACAGAATCCTCCTCTTCTAGGCATTTATTTACACAACTCAGCTTATAAACCTGTTCTTCAGACCTAAGGTTCTAGCAGAGGCCTATCTACATGATCTGTTCCATCTCATCACATCCACCAGTCAAAGGAAAAAGTACAGTAGTAATTGGTAGGTTCCCTCTCTGCTTCTGAAAATAAACAGGTTGCTAGGGCAAATCCAAGAGGAATATTTACATCTGTCCTAGATGCTAAAAAATAGAGAAGGAAGAAAGAAAGGAAACTGTAACCAAAGTAATAATGCTTAGCCTCAAGCAAGCGTAGACTATTTTCATGATGATCATCTTAGTCTGCACCAAACCAAGATCTTAACAATACAATTTCACATAGAAAGGCTCAGGTTTAGTACAGAAACAGTTTATAGGCACTTCGAGTGATGTCTTGGTGAACTGCTGCTGCTCCAGTCATAAAAAAACTACATGTACTTAGCAGCATGTTACACAATGTCTGAACTGTGACCATTCTTAAGAGACCTAAGTACATAAAACTCCAGAAAAGCAGTTTCACTCCAGCTTTTAAAACCTGAACAGCGTTGTAGACTTTGAAAAGAACTTTTGCAGACAGTAAATCCACCCTGTGGTCTAGTGACCAGGGAAACCTGAAGGATGGCGATTTTCAGTATAAAAACAGGTACTACTTTTCTCCAATAAAATGCTCAAATAACAAAAATTGTAACATTTACAATAACACTAAACTCCACAATCTGCACATGGACTGTTACATCCAAAAAAACCCTCACTGACAGTATGAAAGAAGCCGATGAAGTAGGGCTCAACTGCAACAAGACCAGAATTTGCTCACATTAGATCTGACTACACAATCATTACCCAACTGAACACAGCAGCCACAAGGCCAAAATAAACTGCAGATTATGCTATCAGACACAATAAAGTGAGAAAGTTGTGACAAAGTCACAAACAACTCCCTGTAACACTTTAAAAAACCAAAGTGCATAAATAAACTACACAAACTATATCTTCAAAAACTTCTGGACTCAGCACCACTCAATGTCCTCTTTTTGAATTTAATTTGTAATCCCCATAATCTTTTATATTGTTGATGACTGGTTCTGCACCACGTCAATAATTTGCTTTTGAGATTCTCCCAGAAACTCAGCACTTACAATGGCAAATCTCATTTGTAGGGGAAACTTTAATTCACACTTAATTTGCTTTCCAATGTTTTTTTAATCACATTTTTTAAATTTTAAAACTCTGACAAAGGCAAAGAAATATAAACCTGGACTTCAGCACAAAATACACTAGCAGTGCAAGTGCTGCCAACACTAGATTGCACTAAAATGTGCATGTGAAACAACTGGATGGCTGCAGCCGGGGTGTGCATTACACACTGTCATTCTGTGCAGGACAGAAAGGACACCAGTAATAAAAAGAGGAAAGGAAAAAATAAAAACAAAAGTCAGATAAATGACTGAAAACTACCTCAGCCTTCTCACTTGGAATAGATGAGACCTAACCCCCTAAGCAAAATGCATCACAGCTGTCAAAAGCTCACTGCTAATAAACAGAAGTTCCAAAGCTATTTGTCTACGCTGGAGCTACAGCTGTAGTAAAATGCCATATATGATGTCGACTTGTTTGAATTAACTACTTCTTTATTATAAATTAACCAAATTAAAAAGAAAATTAAAAAAACCCCAAGTTTTCCCCTAAGCTTTTAACCGCCTCTCTGAACTGCATATAAAACGTTGCACTCCCTCATCTGAAATTTAAAATCCCTGCCAGGGTTAGTAAAAACAAAGAGTGTTTCACAACCAATCTTTCAACACTGGCTCCCTCAACAATTTTATGAGTCTTCCTAAAAAGACCTTGAAAATAAAGACCAAAACTGTTTTACATATAAATCAGGACACGGAAATGTATTTATTTAAAGAGTAAGTCTATTTGTTTTTGTTTCAGCAGACAGCTATACTACAACGGTATTTTCTTCTGAGGAACAAAAGACAGGGAAGGTCAGTGGGTTCACAACAAGTTCAAAGTGCTGTGCCATATCTTCCAGTGTACTCCATTTTACCATATACATATGTGATGTGAGATAAACTTGTCTAGTTCTGCCTACTGTCAAACTGCCCTTCTCCCAACTACATCCTCTAGTCTGACCTCTTGTATATCACAGACCATTAAGTTTCACCCAAATGACATCACATGAAGCTCAAAGACTTTATGAGGTATTTTGCCATTTGACAGAGAACAAGGCACGGGAGGAGCAATCTCCATGAAAGAACTGGAGTCCTGAAAACATCTTTCTTTTAACTTACAATAAGCTCAAGCTTGCTAGTTTTCAGGGAACAAGACCTGTTCCCCCCCAACTGTTTTGTGAAGGAGGGGTGAAAAGATTCCTAAAATTCTCCTGCTTTTGCCTTTTTCAGTTGCTGCCATTAAAGGATTAGCTAAGCTTACTGGGTTTGGGTTTTTTAGTTTCATTTTTAATCCGACAAACAGGTGTTACAATTCCAAATAAACTAGTTTCATGCAAATTGTTATTTGTATAACTCAAATAAATTTGCATACAAATTGACTATATCAAAAGATCCATTAACAATATTTTAATCAACAATCCCCAAATAATTCGGAGTGCAAGTGACCTTTGGAGTTTACATGCTCCAAATCCCCACACAAAACAGAGCCAGCTTCCAAGGGAGTGCAAGGCCATACACCAATCTATTTTTAAGCATTTCCAAAGGAGATTCCAGAGTTTCTCTGTGCCATTTGTCCCAGAGTGTTCACTAATCCCATTGCCCAAACCTTTTTCCTAGTATCTAATTGGAATTTCCTTTGTTGCAGCTTATGTCTCTCACACTTGCCTTTTGTTGCACATCTACAAAAATACATGTCTACCTTCTTTATACCTTCTCATTTGTAAATATTCAAAGATAGCAATAAAATTCCTTCTTGGCTTTCTCAAGACTTAACACACCCAGATCTCTCAGCCTTTCCTTATATATTATGCAGACCAGCTCCTTATTCATCTTGAATACCTGCTCCAATATGTCAATGACTTTCTTTGATGGTAGTCAACATGACATAAACATGATATGCATGATGGGACATTTTACCTCAAAACATTCAAAAACCCAATATAATTTGAGAGGTTTTCAATAAACAAACACTCTCTGTACAATATGGCAACTTCAATATTATTCTTGACATTTAGCCCATACCAGAGTAGCTGTAAATATTTTCATGGCTATTGGAAGAGATGTGATCTGTCTAAACAAAAGTTACACATTAGAGAAGGTAGGAAGTGGCGGTTTCTTCCCAGCAGTGTATTTCTTGATAGATATTTTTCCTACCAGTCCAAGCTATGGAGTTCAGAATATCCCGTAACTGTCAAAAAACCCCAACATTTGGAAGAGATACTCAGGACAGAAACTTACAGTGTGAAGGAAAAGTCAACTTGAAAACTTACCAATGCCAAATCATCTCGACTGCAGTCCAGGGCAGCAATCATCACCTGCTCATATATTATCCAAACTGGACAAAAAAGAGACAATAAGTGCAGATAATTAGGGGTTTAAAGATAATAGGAAACACCTATAATGTAAATTAGATTAATTAATTCTGTCTGTACATTTTTCCTTCTACTCGCATGGATCACTGCTGAAACAGGGACAAATTAAGAAACTGCTGGAATTAATTAGTAACACATTTTAGCTACTCAGTGCTTTTAGTAACAAAGTACCTTCTGACATCTTGAAAGGCAAAAAAGCTCTAGTTCTCTTCCTTTCATAACCTTTTAACTGCAATCTTCTTAATTGGTCCACATTAGGACTTACTCTCTGATCAGACTTGCAGAACATCCACTTTTCAATTTTTGCCAGTGTTGAAGAACAGAAAATCAGTCAAATGAATCTTAAGTAACAGTTTCATGCTAAGTTTTCACGTAACGTTGTAACTAAAAGATTAGCAAACTAACAGTTCTACCAGGTAACTTTGCATCCCTTTTCACTGCAGCCCATATTTGGGTAAGAAAGAAACTACTGGAATTCTGGCTAAGAAATTAATATATATTTCACCAACATAAGCACACAGAGAAAGGCAATACAAAGGCTGTTAAATAAAATAGAGACTGAAAAGCGAAAACCAAATCAGACAATTGAACTTTCAAAAATAATGATTGTTTACTTACTGTCATCTCCAAGTTTAGATGCATATTCATTAATTAACTCTTCTCCAACATCCACTATCTGTTCACTGTTTCGATAGTTTTCTTCTCTCCATTTCCTCATTTTATCACGCATATCTGTGGGCAAGGGGGAGAAAAAACTCAGTATTTCCAGATAGGAATGGAATTTGACTGTTATTTCTGGAAAATATGCATCTGAAGAGTGGGTTTAGTGAGCAACAGAGCTAAAAAAGTGACTTCTACTAATATTAGATAAGCAGTAGAGAACAGATTGGTGTAGCAGACCTCTGAAACCCTATTACACGAACTATGCTCATGCTCCAATATAACGAATTCAACTTTCAGGTTTACGGTCTCTCAGGTCAGTAACATATGCCGTAAAGAAATGTATATCTAGTTATCCAATAAATAATAAAATTTAGTCACGTTTAGGAAAAACAGGCTACAAGAGATTTCTCCCAAGTACACATTTACAAACAACACTAAAATTGCATTTCTGCTGCAGGTGAATAAATTTTCATTTGAAGTATTAGAAAAACTACTATAACTTCCACTCTTGAAAGGAATCTACACACTCCTACAGAAACGAGCCTTGGGAAAGGCAGGCATGGAAGTGAACGCTTTCTACAGCAGGGAAGTGTCCAAAGGCATAAAAACCATCACTGTTTATCTAGGCAAGGTAGAAAAGACAGTTTATTTTAGCATTAGGATTTTTGCTTCAGAAGTACATTTACTATGGATCAGATCTTCAAGAGAACAGAGATATTCATGAAGTCAGCTAGAGAGTGCTACTGAGCCTAGGCTTTACTTATCCTCTGGATAAGGAAATTACCAAGAATGTGATTTTACATACACATACATTTATATATGTGTAGATATTTTATATACAACAAATTTTGAGAAAATTCAAGGAAAATTGTGTTCATTACTAGATAGTGGCTTTACTAATAAGAAGGTACCAGGACAACTGTTGCCTATAGTTTTTTAAAACTTTACAACAGCTGGAAAAACAAATACAATGATAGATCTAAACACTGTCAGGTTTTCTTGCACTTCAAAGTACATAGTTAATGCAAATGACAGTTATAAATTAAGTACTGAATGTTCTTCCATCTACCTGAAGTGATCTCAGATCGCTCATAAAACTGTTATTGTGCTACATTTTGTATTTTGAAATTCAACCAAAACCACCACAGGGTTACATTTCATACGCATGGGCAAAGTGAAATGGTTCTAGACACATGATGGTCCCTGGAAATTCAACGTTAGACAGCAAGAATGTGAGAGAACACAAACATTCACAAAAGCTGACAAGCTAAACGCCTAAAAATAAATAAGCTGTCTGATTTTCACTCATTTACTTGGAAATTATCAATGCCTCCATTCCAGTGTGATTCCAAATGGAATAGTGTCCGAATTATGTATTAACAGAATGAACGTCTACCATTCATCACACAAGTACAGCATTTACTGTGATGGAAAAAAACCTGCAGGACAGGGAACAGTACATCAGCTGATGGCTGAAAAGCAAGGTAAAAACAAACTTCTCATTAATTTGAATCTATTGAGAATTTTAGTTAATTTTAGAAATAGTGATTATGTAAAAGAAGAAAAAAAGCTGAAAACTTAAAACAATTGTGAATAGCTAAAAGAAAGCACACACAGCACAGAACACAACAAACCACCTCAACAGCACTTAACTGCACACAGATGATGGCAGAGATAAAATGTTAGACTGTTTCCTATTTCCTAGCATCTTTCCATACAAGCTAAATACAAATTCAGTTTCTAAGTCATAGGAAGGAAGCAATTTTGCTCAGTGGACTCTGATGACTTCTGTCTTTGTATCTACCATCTTTCCAGATACATACATTTGCAAGAAAATGGCCTCAAATACAGACACTGTTAAACTTCACCTGATAAAGCATTTTAAGATATTTTCAAAAATTACAAATAATTTCCTGAAAAAAGTCTCACATGAACACATAACTAGAACTCTTAAAGTGCTGCTACTTAAGTGGTGCAATTTTTGATAGAGAAAACAGTAATACTAATTTAACAATCCAGAGAATTTATCAGGCATTATGAGCTATTAAAATTTTTTTAAATATTCTTTTTGCTTGTTCTCGATTTATACCAAAAGAAATGTAGTTTAGAGAACACGCCATCCCTTTCTGGCTTTATTTTGATATCCAGTGAAGACAGTTATTGACTGAAACAAGAGTTGCCACAACAACACTCAAAAGATCTCCACAAAGCTCAGCCATCACTAGCTGTAAGTCACTACTTCATTTTAGCAGGGTTTGAGATGCTAACACCATTATGCTTCGGTGCAAGGTATTGTCCCATTCTGACAATATATCAAGTGAGTTTTCTGTGAAAACTAATTGCTATTTTATTAGTTCTTAAATATTATGACTGCTGGATGTTTGCAGTTTGCACTAATTCGGCACGTGGGGGCTAACTACTGTGATCCAAAACCTGCTCCTGAAATGAAGTTACACGGGTGTGTGTTTGGGTGGGTTTTTTTTTAATTTTTCCACTCATGGGACAAATTCATCTTTAATGTATCACTGAAACTATGATAAGTATTTACTCTGGGAAGTTCTACATAGCTTAAGAAACTCCTACAAAGAAGCTGTACATCACCAGTTAACAACTGACGCGCTAACCTACTACATCAGGGTCCTTTGCCAAACCTGCAGTTGATGTCACTCCACATAGTCGCTAATTCTTTTGCACACGAAGGCTGCATGAAACAGAATGCCATTTTCTGTTGGATAATTAGCAGAAGTCACCAAAAAAAGGAGTGGCATATCCCCTTTTTCTCAAACAAATAAGCTGTAAAATGAAAAGAGAAAAGCCTTCTTCTTGAAGAGTCTTTGCACAGCCTGTTGCAGGACTCCACTTTGCTCTTCATCTCTTAAAACAGAGGGGAAAAGAATACAAAATTCTTCTAAAGTGGTACAAATCCCTTGTAGTAACACAGATCTTACCCTACACAGCAGCTCTTTCATTTGGACATAAACCAGAAGATATCAATTGAGAAGTTCATATGAGAAAACTCACCAGCTGGTCCTCCAAAATTTCTCACTCAACACACCCATATGTAAAACTATGCACCTAGCACAATGCCATGAATGTCAATCCAAAGTCTTGGAAACAGAATATGGAGATTATTTCTAAGAGTAGGACTCTCACCTCTGCATGAATTGGCCAAGGCCAAAAGCAGCAAGCTTGAGCAACCTACACCTGGCCACTACGTGAGAGGATAAAGACACACTCTGCAATGCTCTCAGCCAAAACAGTCTAGGGCTAAACGTACAGAGGCATATCCACAGTGCACGTGAAAAAGATTTCATTTCTCTTTCCAATCATTAATACCTGAGAATAACAGGGGGCAAAAATAACCACAACCCTGTATCTCTGGGGTTTGTAACATCATCTGCTCAAGCAAAATAAAAACTGCAAAAGTTTTCTGCACAAGGTATTTTAGAACAGCTTCTGGGAAAGCTTAACAACAACACCAGCAATGCACCATACAACCTCCCTTCCCACACAGTGGCCTGGCTGCTCTCTATCCAAGCTGAGCTTCACAAGTACTAAACCTTTTCAAAGGAGATACAAAATAACAGGCAATCAAGCTTTTCCCAGTTAGTCTAATGACATTATGGTGGTGCAACCAAACACCAGAGCAAAACTAGCTATAAACTGACCACCAGACACACCAGCAGGCAAGCCAACTTCTTCATCCTCATTCATTCAGTTGCAGCACTGTTTTCTCCAGTACCAGCTAAAATATTTTCTGGAATTAATGCAATTTGAGCTAAAAACTGAATGCTTCAAATTCCATTTTGTTTTGTTTCAGAGTCCTACAGAAAAAGGTGCAGGAAAGACAGCATGAGCACTACTTCAATAGGTGAATGACTTATATCTCCTAAAATACATCCCATGTAATACTCCTCCTCTTATTTACAAAACCAAACCAACCAATGCTCGGGGACTTATTCTATTAGTCAATTATTTCTTCAAGGATTAGCAGTAAATAAATGAAAACCCAAAGATCACACAGCTTCTCTCTGCATTATCTTTTCTACTGCATAATGTTTGCAACGTACGGTACCTAGGTAAAGGTTTCCCCTTTATGGCCAAAATTGTGGAGAACCATTGATTTATAAGAGACTAATGGGCTCGAGTGCTGTCTCAGCTTACACTTAAACATGTACTGCTTACAAGAGAAGAACCATTGAGAATGTCAAGTAAACCTCATGAAGTACTGCTATATGAAAAACATAAATAACTCTTATGATCAGACATGAAAGCTAGGAAGACCCGGGGGCGGGACTTTCAAACACTATTATGTCACTTCAGAGCTTCTTGGAGGAGCTCCTCGACGAACGCTTATCATCAAGCCTGACGAAAATATCGGGTGCCCTTCAGTTCACCAAAAGGTAAACTCTGACACAACTGCTGCCCCAGCCAGGCCATTCCGCCCTGAGGCGCCGTGTCCCGGGGAGCCCGAGG